TTGTGTGTGTGTGCCTTTGGAGTACAGCGATAACCCTGGAATTGTTTCCAAAGTCACTTGCCGATTCTACTTCCTAAATAGTCGCAAACTCCACAGCTTCAATTTTTGTAACGCAACTTTTATCGGCACATAACATTTGTCGCAAAATTTGGATTTATAAATTGAATCCGCAACTTGTTAATCGATTCCACATTTTGTTAGTAGAATCTATATTTTTTAATTAGGTTCTACTATTGTTGATGAATGCTATAAACATACTCAACTAGCAATTTGTGTATAAAAAATTAAAAGATAGCTAGAGCCAAATTGAATGAGAAAAAATTGTTGCTATAGGTAGAATGAAAAGCAAGAGCGAAAAAAAAACCAAAGACCAAGAAATTTGTGGAAAGCAAGACCAAAATATAATCGCACTTGAACTTAAGACCTTGATGTTTCTCTTTGACCACCGAAAAGGATGTGAATACTTTTTCAGCATTTCAGATCAACAAAATTTTTCCCGCATGTTGAATTTTTGTAATGTAGTGCCCGTACCAAATCTTTGAATGTCTCTTTGCAGCATGTCTATTTTAAAGCTGATCACACCTGTTGCAGATCTGCATCAGATCTGCCAGCTGATTTCTACAGGTATGAGCAGGTTTCACTAAGGTCTGAGCAGATCTGCAACAGCTCATGCCAGATCTGACTCAACCCTGCATCAGATCTGCAAAGCTGCGAAAATCTGAATCAATTTTAAATTAAACACAGTTTGAAATGTTTTATGTCATTTTTGATCGAAACATCTCACGACCACAAAACTACGCTTAATCACAAAATAAATTCAAAAAAAGACAAGACTGTTCGTATCAGGGCGAAGCCTTGAAAGTTCCGACTACCTTTTAAGGTCTATGGAGCATTAATAAGATGAAAAATTTCAATGCAATAAAAAAAAAAATTTTTTTTTGAAAAAATTTGAGATTTTCTGTAAAAACATCCCGCCACACATCATATTAAGTACAAAGTGACAAATTTTGCGTCTATTAACAAATCAATTATGGCATATAAGCTTCCTTGAACCAATTTGGAACGAATTCTAAGACGGATTAAATATCGCTTACGCGTTAATAGCGCGAAATTTATCGCACGTTAATTGTCCCAAATTGGCCAAAATGGCAATCTTTAAACCCCGAAAAGTAATCACAGGTGAAATATTTTTTCAAATTTAAGCTCAGGACAACAATAGCTTTCGAATGATATAAAAAAATTCCGTCAAAAACGGCTAGTTAAAAGGTCGAAATTTGTCTGAAGAAAAAAAAAACCCACCCGAGCACAAATATTCCGTTACTTTCGTATCGAAAGTCGGAACAAAAAGAAAATAACAGCAATCATAACAAATCAACATGATAATATATTAGACACACAAAATCTATCAAGTAAATTATACATGTTTTTTTCGCGGCTTTAAAGCCTCCAGTTTTTACCGCTACCAGTATGTAAGCCCTGAATCGTAGTTCTCTTGAATCGTAGTTCTCAAACGTTCTCTTGTGCATCTCAAAAATTTCTTCTTAACTTCAAGACGTATGCGAATTTCCTTGTTTTTCTCTAAAAAAGAAAACTAGAATAAAAATTAGACAAATTCAAATAAACATTTTCTCAAGTTTCCTGTAAAAAGGACTTTTCCCCAATAATTTCAGAATTATTGGCAGTTTTTTACGAAAATTATTTTAAAATCTCTCTGAAAACAATTAGATACAAACAAGATTGCTCGTATACCATGGCAAGATGTTTAGATTCTTCTTAATCCGTATCGAATAATTTTTTGTAAAATAAGTTTTAAAAAACTAAGTTTCGGACAATATCTAACGTCAAGTGTAAAATATTGAATCGTACGAAACTAATACGACGAAATTGTTTGCCTCAATTCGTTTCGGAACAATTTTGTTGCGCGGTGTAGTTTAAAAATGTTCAAAGTGTAACGCGAGTAATTTATGCGTGGAGATTCATCCAGCACAAAAAATTGGTCCTTCCTTCGGTAGTATTTTACGACTTTCATCTTTGATTGACCGACATTAAGTCCGACATTGGGGGACCTCGAGAAAAGGGGAGGGGCAGATGTTCAAAAAATGCAGCCCCCTCCCGTAGATCCGCTACTGGGGAGGAGGATCTGATGTTTAAAAAAGCAGTTTAAATAGTTCATATCATCTTCTGCAAACAATTGGCTGGAAATATTAGTCCTCGATTGACTCAATTTAAAAAACCTGAATCTAAATAAGATTCAAATAAACAAAAAGGGTACAACAAAAACTAAACGCAGTAAAATCTGAGCCCAATAATTCAATAAGTAACTCAACGCGTAACATAAAAATAAGCAAGTAAGTGTACATGTAATCAATTTGGTTTAAATTGCGGACAAAATGCAAAGCAGAGTTACTTGTCAGATGTGCACAGCTCTGCATCAGATCTGATGATTCCCGTTTTATAGCTAGATCTGCTAAATAGCTGAAGACTCCTGTTTTTGTTTTATTTCATAGGTACGATTGTTTCTCAGTTTAGAAAATTTTTAGCATTTAGGACAAACCAAAAAGTTTATCAGCTCGTGGATTTTTTCAAGCCATTTGTATTGTACTGTTTTGCTGTTAAGTAATTTTTGTTTCAGCTTTCATAGAAACGGCGGAAAAGTTAAGCTATGGTGATTTTATTGTTCAGTCAGTTTTGGGTTTTTGTAACTCAGCACTTCTGACGAAACTTTTTATACAATTTGGAAGGTATTGTCTGGAGCTCATTTAAAAATTATAGTTTTCACCTTTAAACTTTTTTGGAAAAACGGATGTTTGAAATTGCTAATTTGGCCAGCATGGTGTTCCAAATTTACTTTGCACAAGCAATTTAGTGTCAGTAAAACAATGCGAGAGGCAATTTTACCCTCTGTTTTTTACATAGAGTAGAGGGATAAAAAAATTTGGATTATATTGTCAACTAATCGACCAACAAACTTCTTAATGGGCCTCAAAGTGCAGTCGGAACGTCTAGGAATTCAAACACATTAGCATATATATGTTTTTTTTGTTGCAAATTGAGTGATCAAAAATAGAGTTTTTTCATGTATGTTAGTTAAGTAACTTTGTAAAGATTTCGTTTTCCCACCATTTGTCTGGTCGTTGTTTGCAAATAGCCCATCCAAGTACAAAATTTTAGACAATTTTTTGCTTTATTGCCAATTTTAAAGCGTATAATGCTAACTTGATGCACGAATTGGCATAATGTTAACCTTATTATCCGAAAAAAAAACTGTTCATGTTGTTCAGTCTAATCGATAATAGGCGGTCTCGTTTAGTCCATTTAGAAGTTTCTGACCTATTTGGTGAGAGATTAATATAAACTGTATGAAGGTTCGAGGTGCGCATGGAAAAGAACATAGTTTCAAACTTTTTCCATGTTTCTTTACCCGTTTATGGAGTTTTGAGTTTGGTTTGAAAATAAATAGTATTTTGCGCTACGGAAAGATATTTTATGTTTAATTCTATCACTCAAGCAATATTTGCAACAAATAAGTGCTGAGGATTTGCGAAAACTCATTTTTTTGCTAAAACATAATAAATTACATTTTTCATTTGGGAAAATTACTAAGGTCTGATTAGAGACAATTTTTTCCTGGTTGTAAGATCGTTAATACTCTCTGATGTCTCTTTAGATGCACTCAGGTATTTAGGTGCAGATAGATATAAAAGCGTTTTTCAATGAAATCTTTTTTTTTCCGATTTTTCTTTTATTGTTTTTTTGTTTATATAATTAGATAGGTTACATTCCGACAGAAAGCACTAGCATTTGATGTAAGCTTTGTTACTAACCGCAATTTAAAAAACAGCAAACCAGAAGCTCAACATTTTAGCCCAGTATTTGTGATAAAATTTGAGATAAATCATTTGAGATAATTTCACCTAGATTGAATTAGTTTTCTCCCATTGGCGATGGTTTTACCCAATAGCTAACAATTTTCCCGAACTGCATGTGTTTTTCTCACAATTGCTGAAAATTTTATCCGCCATCAATTTCCAAAATCAATAGGCTTTAAGATATAAATGTATGATAATGAATTGTGGAAGTAAACTCAGGATTTTTATTACTGCTTTTTGTTTAATTTAGCTCGTAATTAGAGCTGCGGTATGTCTGGCGGTTCTACCGCAGCAAAATTTAACAAAAAATTATCAAAAAAAAAATTTGCCGTTTCCTCAAAAACTGCTGTTTCCAGGCTTATTCGGAATCCGCAAAAAAACAGAACACAGTTTGATCTCGGTATATTATGTCGTGCCAAATAAAAAAACTTGTCTTTATGCGTAGTTTTATGATCACTTCAGCTTTGAAGTGAAATTATAAAGGATCCTTGTTATTGTAAAAAAAACAATGTAAAAAAAACAAGGTGGGTGAGGGACGAGTTTTAAAAACAGTTTCGAAAATTTTGTCGACCTTTTTTTTTTTTAATGACCGAATTGATTTCCAAAATCGAGCTTTCCGAAATCGCTATAAACACCCCATTTCCATTTTGACCAATCTTTCTGCGCTGCAAGCAAACTTTTGAAAAAATAGGCCAAAAAAAGGAGTTTTTAGGCACTTTTTGGAAAATTTTGACCAACAAATCGCGCTTTTTCGGCGCGCGCTCCTCCCTCAAAAAATAGTATATATTGGCGCCAAAGGCGACTTTAGAAAAATTCTAGGGTATCTCACCAAAAATAGATATCTCGAAATAGTACAAAGGAGGGATCCTTTAGGTCGGCAGGGGGTCGAATCCTTGAGGGGAGGAGGGCGTCCGCTGTAAATCCTCTACTGACGCTAATGAAACTTCTTACTGTTTGAAGAACGGGCTGAGAACAACAACAATTTGAAATATCCAAAAAAAACTTGTCTGAATCGTTCGCAAGCAAAAATAAGGAAAAAGTAACATTCCCGTTCTTTCAGCTCTTTAACCTCGTCACCAAGTTGTACCCAATTTCATTTCGGGCAATTGTACACAATCTCTAATGAGAAACTGATCTTTGTAGATTATATTACTTCAAAAAAATTTTCATTTTAAATTTATAACGAAATTATCGAAATTTACAATATTTTTTTTCTTCAAAATAGTATATTAAATTTAAAATGTATTTTTGTTTGGTTGAGATTTGCTATTCACTTGGCGTGTTTCACTGCCCACTCAAAGCCTTCTTGGATCCCCTTGCCAGACCCGACTGCCGAACTGGGCAGAAGTGTCCACTGTCGCTCGGTCAAATCCGCCAGATCAAAACTCTTCTTAATCTGGTCAACTGAAGCTCCTCCTTTCAAATCTTGTTTGTTAGCCAGAACCAACACTGGCACTTTGTCAAGTTTGCTTTCGTCCAAACAGTCCAAAAAACAATCGGCCGATTCCTGAAGTCGTTTTGTGTCGTGACTGTCAACGACGTACACCAAAACATCAGTTCCATCGAAGTAATTTCGCCAAAATGGTCGCAGATTTTTCTGACCTCCGACATCGATAATGGTCATTTTGAAGCCGTCTTTCTGGACCGACTTGACATTGACTCCTTGAGTTGGTGTTACAATGGGATCCTCGTTGGCGACGAGTTTGAGGATTGTCGTTTTGCCCGCGTTGTCCAGGCCCAGAAGGAGGAGTTTGAGGTCGCGATCGGAACTTTTCCGGAGTTTTCGGAGAGCAGAGAGAAGAACCATGTTGTTACGTTAACTTTTGTAACTAAAACAATTGAAAATTTATCATAAAATTGATATAGCAAAATCAAAGTGAAACTTATTTCACAAAATAAAACTGCTTGCGGTTGTTTTATTAAATTCTCAATACGTTAAAAAGACCAACTGGCGTAAATGGTATTTGCGCGTACACAAAAGCGTAAGGTTCAAAATAAGCTACTGTTGAAAGCTTGAGCCATAAAATAGTTTAAATTACATTCATGAATTAAAAAATGCAAAGAATGGTTTCAGTATGAATCACAAGACTGCTCAATACGTTAAAAAGACCAACTGGCGTAAATGGTATTTGCGCGTACACAAAAGCGTAAGGTTCAAAATAAGCTACTGTTGAAAGCTTGAGCCATAAAATAGTTTAAATTACATTCATGAATTAAAAAATGCAAAGAATGGTTTCAGTATGAATCACAAGACTGCTTAGCGTATGATGAAAACTTAAAAGCTTTAATTTGGTTGCGACGCATAGAATGGAAATTTTCAGGAAATAAATGCCAAGATGAAAAAGTGAATTCCGATAGTAAATTATGCAAAACGCAACATAAAAGGGTCTAAAAATACGGTCGATCAGGGGCCTAACATACCGTGACAAATTGATATTAGGAAGCTGAGAATGATAAGCGATATTAGCAAACCAGAAGGTAAGAGTAAACACCTTTTGTGCACTTAGTAAAAGTACGACGCCGAAAATTTAATTTCAATGTGGGACCTTCATATATATATTTCCTTGCTATCAGCTTTTCAGGTGCAATAATGCGTAAAACATAGATTCCTGTTAGGAACAATACCCTGTGCTAGCTATGAATGAGAGAGTGGGAAAGATTTACCTTGCAACTGTCTTAGCCCAGGATAAAATAGCCCCAATCGATAATCCGAAGGAAATCAATTTAATGAACCAAGACTCGCTCCGATCGTAAAAATATGCCAATTTGCACAAATTTTTTCTCAGTTGAGTAGAAACAAAGAATGAAATTTTACGGGCTTTGAAAAGATTTCCCCAAGATTTAATGAGTAATATGGGTTTTTATTAATAACCAAAGATCTTCTGGGCCAAAATGGAGTTTTTGAGAAAAAAATATGATGAGAAAAGGTTTGATTCAATTTGAAGTTGTTATTTTGAGGCCGATGATTTTGGGCTTGTGTGATTCAAACCCAATCGAGATCGTGTTTAGTAGAGCCAGTTTTGGGTTTAATTGACAGATTTGTTTGCTACTTATAAACAAACCACTCAAGTATAATCATGGCTTTAACGACTTCTGATGCAATTAATGTGATGTAGCTAATAATCTGGTGAAATTTAAACCATGAATATTTGTAGTTTCAAGTGAGTTAAAACTATACTCTGATTGTATTTTCCAGTCTCTCAAATCATTCTACCCCCCCCCCCCCCCACCCCCTTCCACTTATAATTCAACGGTTCAGAGCATAAAGGAATATGTACCTTCGCACTCGTTCCCCTTAAAAAGGGAGGGGCCATTAAGTAATCCGTGCTCTCATATTCTTAGAACTTTATTCAGGTGCGCTGCAAAAGTATTTGTCATAATATGGGCTCGCAACAAAAAATGTCGATGAACAAAAATTGGCCATTATGGAATCGAAAACCTCGTAAAATTTATTTGTACAATGAAAAGTTAAGGTGCTGCTGATTTTAGATTTTTGATTGCAAAAGAAACTGAAATACTTTTATAAGCACACAAAAGCTGATGGAATTGTTACATTCAATTACAATAAGCTACTGAAAAGTTCAAAAATTGCATTTGGAGCACAGCAGCGATTCTCGGTAAGGCGCTGAACTGCTCACATGTTAGCCAATAATCCAATGAGCAAAAAACAAGTGTGCGGTATGTTTTTGAGCAATATTAAAAAAAAATAGTGCAATAATTGAACCACAAGTGCCACAAAATAGTGCAATAATTGAACCACAATTTTTCACATAGGTTTTTGTTTAAGTTTTCACATGTTTTTATACCAAGTATGAAACCGTTTATATTGCATTTTGAAATTTAGTCACATCTGAACACTGCGTGTCTCAATTTATTCATCAAATTGCTCAATGGTTTATATAGCTGTTGCTTTTTATTACACGAACGGTATTGAAAATCAAACAAGACTGCTCGTATCAGGGCGAAGCCCTGAATGTTCCGACTGCCTTTTAAGGTTTATGAAGCAGCAGTAAAAACATAAAAAATTTAAATGAAATAAAATAAAACGAAAAAATTTTTTTAGAAATTTTTAATGAAAATCATCCCCCCACACGCCATATAAAACACAAAAAGATAGATTTCGTTCCTTGTAACAAATCAATGATGGCAAACAAGCTTCGTTCAACCAATTTGGAACGATTTATAAGACGGATTAAATCTCCCCTTACGCGTTAATAGCGCGAATTATATCGCGCGTTAATTGTCCCAAATTGGTCAAAATGGCCAAAATGGCAATCTTTAAACCTTTATAACTTCACAAAAAATGATCACAGGTGAAATATTTTTTCAAATTTAAACTCAGGACAACAATACTTTTTGAATAATCTAAAAAAATTCCGTCAAAAATGGCTAGTTAAAAAGTCGAAATTTGTCTGAAGAAAAAAAAACCCACCCCGAGCACAAATACACAAATATTCCGTTACTTTCGTATCAAAAGTCGGAACAATTACACTGGTGAACGAATTGAAACGCAAAGTGACGTTTTAACTCTGAAAATGTTTCATTTTAAAAACTATATTCGAGAAAGCTATTAAGGAATGTTAACAAAGTTTTTAAACTACCCGACAGCAAATGATCTGAACTACCATCTCGGAAATTATCAATTTTGGATTTAGAGCACATACTAGTTTTTTCGCCGTCTGAATATGCCAGTTTTCATTATTTGTAATAGGTTTTCCTTGAATGTGTATATCTGTGCAAAAAATATATAATCAAATGAAAGTTTGCTTCTAATTTTTTGGTCTGAAAAATGTTTTTTTTTTGTCTTTACTTTGTTGTTTAAATAAAAGTTTTTGCGATTTTTTGCTTTATTAATTGAAAGTCATTCTTCTCCGTTTTTACTGAGTTTGCCCAATTTTCGCTGCCGACATATAGCTGTCAGACTGCAAATTTGCAAAAATCCCAAAGTAAGCAAACCAAAATTTTATTAGAAATTATTAGGTTGAATTGATTCAAGTTGGCATAAAAAACTTGGACTGAAAGATTTAAAATAACCATTTGAAAATGAACAAATAATGAAGTTGTATAAAAGTCCAAGTCAACAGTTTAGCGTCTAATTTTGAGTTAGTAAAAATCGATTTTGCCATAAATTGACTAACTCTTTCAGCAGGTTTGCTGAAAGGTTGAAAATTTGCCTAATTTTCTTTTTAACTGAGTTATCGATTGTATTTTTCAGGTGGAAAGACAATATCATTGGCGGTTCAGATCGTATTAGTCTTAAAAAACGTCTCAACAGGTCAGCAGTTTGCCTCTACTTTGGAATGACAAAGTTTATTCGCGTTTTATCTCATCTGTAACAAAGTAAACCGGCAATTTGTTTCTTCAAAAAATTATAGTTGCATCATATTGAATATAGTTTGTTCATACTATTGACATCATTTTTTCTAAAAAAATTTTGACATTGGTATTTTAATACGAAAGAAATATTGTTACAACTGAAACTCAACCAGAATTTCCGAAAAATTATCTATGACAGAGTTCAGTAATCCAATAAACTAGCAACAAAAAAGGAACAAGACTGCTCGTATCAGGGCGAAGCCCTGAATGTTCCGACAGCCGTTTAAGTTTTATGGAGCAGCAGTAATTATGTAGGAAAATTAAATGAAATAAAATAAAATGAAATTTTTTTCTCTAAAATTTGAAATTTTTTATGAAAATCATCCCCCCACACGCCATATAAAGTATAAAAAGATAAGTTTTGTTCCTTGTAACAAATCAATTATGGCAAATAAGCTTCGTTCAACCAATTTGGAACAATTTATAAGGCGGATTAAAATTCCGCTTACGCGTTAATAGCGCGAATTATATCGCGCGTTAATTGTCCCAAATTGGTCAAAATTGCAATCTTTAAACCCTCATAATTTTACGAAAAATGATCACAGGTAAAATATCTTTTCAAATTTAGGCTAAGGACAACAATACCTTTCGAATGATATAAAAAATTCTGTCAAAAATGGCGAGTTAAAAAGTCGAAATTTGTCTGAAGAAAAAAAAACCCACCCCGAGCACAAATATTCCGTTACTTTCGTATCGAAAGTCGGAACAAAAACTGCAGCAATTCATCAAAATTATTGTTCCGGATATGGAAAATGAGGAGGAACTTTGTATTAGGGTGTGTTTTAGTTTTTTTTCACGCAAAATCAAGTACCACAAATAATCATCGTAATGGGTTGATTTCTATATCATATTAAAGGACTTCCAGTCGTGATTCGAACCACATTAGAAAATTCCCAAGTTTTTTTCTCGAGAATACCAATGTTTTGATTTGTTGACTGATTTTCGTCTTCTTTCAAGCCGTTTACAATACACTTTTTTTATTTTACTCGAGCAAAATTAGATTTCGGAGATTTTTTTTCATTTTTGAAAAGAAAATCCTTAAAGATAAAAAATTGCAAAAAAAATTTGAAAAAATTGGTTTTCTAAAAACCTTTTATATACATTTTTGTGTTTTTAAAGTCATTTCCGTCAAAAACTGTTGTCCTGTTTGCCTATTTTACTATGATTGTTAAATATTTCTAAATTATATTTTCACGTCTGATCGTTTGATCAAACGACGCATGAAAAACTACAATAAATTGAAAAAAAAAGTTTTGTAGTTTTTTGAAAAACATTCTGTGCTACTTGCACAGTAACCGGCTATCCTTGTTAATATTTAGTTTTTGATTAATTTTTCAAAGTTAATTGAGTCTTCAATAACAAAGCTTGGCATCAAAGAAAAAAGAACCTTGCCAGTTTAAAAGCAAAGCTTCTGAACTGGAACCTATTGAAAAACTCAATCAGGGAAATGTTTTTTATTGCACCATTCTCCTCATCCTGAATTATGCGTTCCCCAACCTCGTATTTGGGGTTGTATCTATCAGTAAAAAAACTCTTCAACTTAATTATAACGGTATTGACGTAGACACAGGAAAAGTTGCCTAAGGAGCCGTAGGTTGATGGAATGAATCTGATTACGCCTTTTCTGAGATAAAATCGATCACAATCAGATTTATACAGATAATTGGCGTACACCCAAACAAATTCAGTTGAATCAAAATAACGTTGATTTAGTTGATAAAACAAGCATAATCTTAGATCAGTTTCAGCCTATTCTAAATAGTTTTGAAT